CTCTCTCTCTCTCAGTACCATGATCGGAGGGTGGCAGTTGAACCGCGATGGGGGTCGTGACTATCGCGGGGGTGGCAGAGGTGGTCGTGGATGACGGGGGTTTGGCAGTTGAAAACATTTCAAAAAGAAGAAAAGAAAACTGAACTTGTGTTCTTTCTGAAAGTTTTACGTCCACCGCGCTCAACACTCTACATCAAATAATAATAATAATAATAATAATAATAATAATAATAATAATAATAATAATAATAATAATAATAATAATAATAAAATAAAATAGTGTAATTTTTAATCACATACTATTGTGTATTGTATATTAATCTACTATTATCTCATACTATCAATATATTAGATCCTACTAAGAGGACTGATTAGTTTGCTTTTAAAACTAATTTATTAATTGCATTCTAAAATGCATTGTTTTCATTAATCTTGACCTAAATGCATTAACAAACATTTGTCTAGCTAGATGAATTGATCTAAATATTGAATAATTGCTAAAGTTTCTTTTTATAGTGTTATAAATTGATTGAAATGGACAAAAATGCCTAAAGCTAAAATAATAATGAAAAAAAAAAGAATAAGAAAAAAAAGCATGTGAAGATAAGTGTGTGATAGACAAGCAACCTGAAAGGAAAAGAAAAAAAAAATAAATATATAAGGAATATGCAGTGATTCAAAAGTAAAAATCCTGTTCTCCCCCTTTTCTTGCTTCAAGCTTTTAAATAAATTGAAAGTGAGCACAACATGTTTAATTTTACTACAAACAAAGATTAAAGAACAATGATACATAATACAATGTTTTAGAACAATGAACAAATTCGGGATCAAAATTTGTTCCCACCATCCTCAAACAGAAGCACATTTGATGAAGACGATCAATTTTGGAGTAAACGGACATTCGTATACGAACGATATTAGCTTTAAATTAAACAACAGCTGAAGAACTTTGTAAGAAATGTGATAGTCTGAAGTATCCAACTTAAGATGACACGTTTTTTATGTATCGATTATGTATACCTCTTTTGCCGATCAAATGACGACAACACAGCTTACGACAATTCATAACGTTCATTTGCAAGACTCGACAAAAGTAAGATACTCATTACTTTAACCGAAAAAGCCCCTCCTTTCCCGCGTAATAACTAATAACCAAGTTAACTATATAAATGGAGTTTTGGATGAATGAAATCACGACAGCATCACGACAAAGGCATTCAATCCATTGCAATGAAGAACCAAATTTTCAGGAAAATATATCGCACAAGAGAACGTTAGAACTCAAATACGAGATAGCTGAATTTATAGAAAAGGAAAGGGAAAAATAAGACAGCAAGTTCAAGTTTTTACAAGACTCAACAAATACGTAGCCGTTAGTTAGGAAAAAAAGAATATTACTAAAATGAAAAGGAACAGCAAATCACGTTTCACGTAATCTACCAATCTTCGACAAGAACGAAACATTGAACGTGCAACCATCAAGTAAACGATACTAAAGTACCTTTTCTTCCATGAGCTACACATACTTGATACTTCATATCTCAACAAAACGTAACAAACAATCTTGACTGGTAAGAACACAAGTCAAGAGAGTATAAATCTCGAGCCACACAACTCGTCAAATAGTACCCTAAACCCAAGCAATCAGAAGCTCTCATCTCGAACAAGGATCAGTCTATCAAATATAAATGCGTATTGATAACAACAAAAAAAAGAAGTCGATAACAAGACAGGCAATATCAAACTGAACATATAATATACCATTCACAACATCATGTACACATTCATCACACAACATACCATTCATTTCGTT